ATGCCTGCCCATTTGCCCAGATTGTTTTGCTTTTTGAACTCTATAAATACATTCACTTTTTTGCATTCAATATAACATTCTTTAATCACATTAAAGTGAGATATCATTGAGCAAAAAAATCCTTTCATAGCCCAAGAATAGCTAACAAAGAGATGGGTAAATTGGTTTTAAAACTTTTTCCAAAAATTAATATAAAATCAAGCATGTAATAACTTCATAGATTAATTCAAATAATAAGCACGAATATAAAAGTAATAAGTAAAGAGNAGAATGCAAACGATATAATTATGGAAGTTCGATTCAATGCAATGATTTACGTCCTCCGTTACTAAGCTCAGTTTCATTATGTTGATTGACTTGTGGTGCAATCTAACCCTTTACAAAACTTTCGGCGACTTACAAATAAGGAGCACCGATTCTTACATAACGTTGAGTTTTACGGGATTTCAACACAACCCACAAGTTTTAAAAAAATTGATTTTACAAATTGAAACTTCTCTCTTAATAAATGATATGATCACAATTAAGTACCGAGAGAGAAATAAGCTAACACTTTAATAAATAACAATGAATGAAATTCAAGTGTTAGGTTTGAAAAACTTTAATGTGAAGAATGATTTTCAAAAGTTAATTTGATAAAAAAAAAATTCAAAACTAAAATGNGTTTTTCAACACTAAAATGATTTGATAATAGTAAATGATATGAGAAATCAATACAATTTTTCTGCTCTTTAAAAAATCACTTGAATGCAAGAGTCGAGGTATTTATATAGTTCAAAACGTAAAAAAATCTGGAAGTTAGGATGACAGTATAAGGTTGACTGCCTCTTGTCAAAGGATGACCAATATAGCAGTTTGTACAAAAAAATCAGAAGTCAGAATTGTCGACCATTGGATTTTCGGTTGACCGCCTATTTTGTCAAGTTGACTGCCTCTTCCAGCCCATTAACCGTTGGGCAGTTAGGCTTTTTTTTACTTTTTATCCCCATTTGTTATGATTTGAAAGTTTTGAAAGGCATAAACTTTTGAAGAATATTTTTAATAAAATTTTGAAGATAAAAAGTGTTTTTAAAATCTAAATATCATTTTTGAAAGTCATTTTTTCATTTAATCAAACCAATTGTATTCGAATGACTTTTAATGCATAAAATTGTTTTTAATGCATAGATGGATCTTGAGCTTATGCATTCATTGCCAAATATTAAAGTGTTAGTACCTTTACATTTTATCTAAGAAGTCAAATCTTTGATCTTACTCCGAAGTTTGGCTTTTAAGTTTTTGAATGTGACTTCGATCTTGACTTTCTCCATGAGTCCGATTTGTGATGATAGCTTTTGATCTTTTGACGACCATCAATCAAGTTTCCATCGCATGCTTTGAAAAACCATAATCATTTGAATTCAATATGTTAGTAATTAAGATTAACTTGTTTGTTATAATCAAAATTCCAAAGTTATAATCAACCGTAGGTCAACACCTACATCTTATTTATTTCATCAAATCATTTATTATAGAACTTTTGATTGATTGGATCAACGTTTGAAAATCTTCTTTGTCATCAGAGTTTTTCTTATGTAAAAATTGAGCTTCATTTCTTACTATTCATTGAAGTGTTAGCTTCCCTTAATATTTAATTCATTTGTCTCATTTATTAAGATTGATATTCAAAATTGTAAAAACATTTTCTTCAAACTTGTGAATCGTATTAAGGTCCCGTAAAATTCAATATTGTATAATGATTGGTGCTTATTGTTTGTAAGTCATTGGAAACTTCGTAAGGGTTCGAATTACACCATAAATCAATCATTATTAACAAATATTATCAAATGAAAAAGTATAGGTGAAAAAAAAATGAATTTAAAATTAACAGCAGAAATTTTCCTCGGTTATGACTTTTTTAAAAAATTAAACTGTTTATAGTGTTATTTAATTTTTGATTTTTAAATACAATTACAAAAGAGATTAATTATTACCATAAAATCTGATTGACCATATACATTTAAAAAATATATTAAATAAAATATGGGAGAAAAACAATAAAATTTATTTAAAAAAGCAAAATAAAGAATCAAAATAGAGGGGACTTACAGAATTTTATTTTCCAAATTTAAAAATATTTATTATACATAAGATATTATTTATAAATAAAGAATCTATGTTCTAACACTTGTTCTATGAATGTAAAATTAAAGGATAATTTCAGAAAAATTTTCAAACTTTCAAAGCACTAACAAACTTTTCAATAGTTATGGCCATCATTTCTAATATTTTCAACCGTTGCACGTGATGCCTTTTTGGACGGTTTCAATAAAGAAGTCGTCAGTTGACTACCAATTGAAATTGACAATTTTTTTATAATTTCAAAAGGGTAAAATAGTAAGCTTAGAGTGTGTTTGGGACACATTCTTTTAAAAGAATGTATTATTGAATAGTAGATTGATGGAGAATGTGTGGTTAAAAATGAAGGAACA